TGGGCACAAGGAGTTTTATTAATCTATACTATAGATATTTAAAAGTTTAAAAAAGCAAAAGAATGTCAAGGTTACAATCAATAAATGACACAGAGGGAGATATGTTGATAAAAGCCATGAAGTATCATGAACAGAAATAACTTTTAAAATAAAGCAACAGAGAACCTATTAGTGGTGACTCAGAAAAAGTGGGATAGGGAAGGGTCAGGGAAGGTGAGAACGATGGATAGCCAATGGGCACAAAATTTTTTAAATAATTTTTATACATCATATATATATCATATTTTTAATATGGTATATATTATATTGGTATTTTATATACATTTAAATATACATAGTGTATATATATATATACATATACATAATATATACACATAATAACATCAAACTGAATACATTCATTATGCACAGTTTATTGCATGTCAGTTATACTGCAATAAAGCTGTAAGAAATAAAAATAAAGTGATACTGATAAAAATGCAAGGAGAGTTTCTGGTCGACATGTAATGAACTTTAAGTTGTGACTCTTGTCCTCACAAAAGCAACAAAAAAAAAGCTGAAGAAAGTAAAAAGCAACTCTCCTTAGATTCAGAGAACTGTCACAGGGCAAACCACTACCCTGAAAACTGGAGAAATGGGGTGGATACAGAGAATCTATCACAGTTTACTGGGAGCAGAGGCCTAGAAGCAGGAGACTGAAACTGGAGCCAGTATGGTAGGACACTTAAAATGTAACTGACAAATTACTGGAAGCTCAATATGAAGCAGTTTGAGAATCCAAAACTCTGGGGGAGGGAGGGAAGCAGTCTCAGAGGAGGCCTGTGTAAATTTTACCCTCAGAATCCCACCAGATTACTGGGTGAAGACTAGAAAACAAAAAGAACTTTCAGGCTTCTAGCACAGGGAGGGGAAGTAACCATTCTGAAATATGCCCAGATCTCTTTGTTCTTCACACCTTGCCCTCAAAAGGAAAACTATTTCACCAGAGCTTAAGTTACTTGGGTTCTACCGACACCTTTCCATCCTGGGGGAAAGGAAGTGCTTAACTTTATTTAGTGCCCTCTCACCTTCCTGCCTTGCCTAAGGGGGAGTGGAAGCTAAGAAGCACTTGTACTCTTCACAGCCCAGGGACACAGGCTCACTAAAAGTCCAGGACCTAATCATAGGACTATAGTTCCTTATTACCACATCAATGAGCTCCTGTCTAATAATAGGATTACAGCTAAAAGCACTGCAAGCCTCAGATCCTGTTTAAGGATAAGTCTGTAGGGAAACACAAGACTACATGGAGACAAAAAAGATAATTTAGAAAAATGCTGTTTCTGAGAACACAGCTACCACAAACAGAAAATACAGCTATTAGAGTTATCCTAGCTAAATAGACATAAAACCTCATATCAAAGGCCTATCTGCCTCATTTCTGGCTTTCAACAAAGTATTTCAAGGCATGCTAAAAGGCAGAAAAAGTCTGAATAGAGAAAGCAAGAATTGGTACCAGACTCAGATATGGCAGCAATGCTGGAATGAACAGACCAGAAATTTAAAGTAACTGTAACTATGATAAATATGTTAAGAGCTCTCCTGGAAAAAGTAGACAACATGCAAAAACAGACGAATAAAAGCAGAGAGATGGACACTTGAGAGTCAAACAGAAGTGACAGAAATAAAATACTTTAATAGAAATGAAGAATGCCTGGACGCAGCTCAGCAAAGAATCAGTGAGCTTGAAGATCAACGGAAACTTCCAAAACCGAAACACACAGGGAAAAGGTAATGAAAACAACAAAAATACCTAAAAATCTATATCTATGCATATCATATTCAATCAGCAGAAAACCAAAGACAAAGAGAAAATCCTGAAAGTAATCAGAGAAAACGAATGGGAGGGCACCTGGGTGGCTCAGTCGTTAAGCATCTGCCTTTGGCTTGGGTCATGATCCTGGGGTCCTGAGATGGAGGCTCATATCAGGCTCCCTGCTTGGCGGGAAACCTGTTTCTCCCTCTCCCACTCCCCCTGCTTGTGTGCCCTCTCTCTCTGCATCTCTCTCTGTCAAATAAATAAATAAAAAATCTAAAAAAAAAAAAAAAAGAATGGGAGAAAAGATGACTAGGAATCCACATAAAGACCGATACAATTAAGAATGCTTATTTCTGGCTGAAGACTATGAACCAGTTGTGGTACCAATTTGCAAAGCTGTTTATTTTTTTCCTTTCAGAAATGCCCAGAAGCCTAGGTCTAGTACTGAACAAGGTAGATAGCTGGACTAACCCAGGGCTGTAATTTTGCCAGGCATGCACAATGAAAGAAGAGTGCATTATGGGAGTTAAAAGCAATGTCAGGAGTGAAGCTCTGTATGGCAGCTAAAAGAGGAAGATAAAGGCAAGAAGTCAAGAGACTCATGGTCTTAAAGATGAACAGGTACAGTAAGGGGAGAGGGCTGGGAAAACAGGTTGTGGTCAGATTGCTGAATGGATGGCATTATAATTTCAAAACTGTAATAGGTCTAGTAGATAAGGTCCAGAGTATGGCCTGGGGTTTTCAGAATAGAGATGGAAGGAATTTGGGTGGGTCTGATTTCTGACTTGAATAATTCTTTCCTCTCTCCACGAATCACACAGACTGCCTGCATCAGGTGGGAGCGTACTGGCAGCAGAAGAGCTCTTCAACTCATAAATAACTCGAGTGGTAAAGAATATCACATTAGGTGCATTTTCCCTCTTAGTCTCACACAGGGTCATACTTAATATAACACTTTCTGCTATGATCAAGTGGATCTAATGTCAAAGCAATATGAAGAAGGCCCACTTTTTCATGAAATAATAAATAATTTTACAAGTGGGCACACATTTGATATATGGAAAACTGTGGAAGTATAGTATGCATTTGTTTCTTTTAGGTTGTCATAAAATTTTGATCTATGATATCAGTGGGGAAGGAAAATGATCTATGTGAAGGCAGTTCAACAGGATCTGAACTTCAAAAGAGAGTAATAAATGGATGAATGGAAGGCAGATGTGTTACCTGCAAAAAAGCCCAAAGGTGCTGGACTGTTAGCATAATCATTGTAAGAATAGCTCTGCATGCTGAATTTTAGGTACATGGCTTTCTAAATGATTATGTTCTCCCTGAAATTAAAATTGCTTTTATTTTAAGATAAAGAGAATGGGAGCATTATTGATCTTAGAAGTATAACCTGCTTTGGGACGCCTGGGTGGCTCAGTTGGTTGGACGACTGCCTTTGGCTCAGGTCATGGTCCCGGAGTCCATGGAGCTCCACAGGGAGTATGCTTCTCTCTCTGACCTTCTCCTTGCTCATGCTCTCTCTCACTGTCTCTCTCTCAAATAAATAAATAAAATCTTTAAAAAAAAAAAAAAGAAGTATAACCTGCCTTAATCATGCCACCTTTCCTATTACCCTTTCTCCCAAAACTTGTGGGTAAAATGAGTGGGTTCCATTTCAATGTTTCAGAGTTCTTTGCTTGACCATGTAATGAATATGGTCAATGAGAAAAAGGAGGAAGAGGAAACAGACCCTGACCTGGAAGAGGAACAAGGGTCTGAACATTTCATGGAATGGATAGACAATACCTGAATAACTGAATTAATTTTAGCCTCTGGTTAATTACATCTATACTTTAAAAATTTTTAAAAAACAGACATTTTTTTAGAGCAGTTTTAGATTCACAACAAAATTAAGTGGCAAGTTCCCCTATATCTTCTGCATTCTCCTCCCCATAGCCTCCCCCACTATACAACTATATTTTTATAATATGAAAGCAGATGGATTTGACCAGGTACTCACATTCTTTCATAATGGATGTGGTGATGCACGGTCTAGATGTTCTCTTCCGTACTGAGGTACTTATTCCCTGAGCTACTCTGAGTCACAGTTGGGTTCCTACCTGGAAACCCTTTTCATCCAAAGGGAGCTGATTCTTACCTATTATATAAGCCTTTCCTGAGGACTACATGCATGCAGTGTCTGATTGATATGGGAATGCAAAAGCCTGACTCCTCTGCCTCTATTTGGGCCATCTCTGAAGGGCCATCCTACCTTCACAGCACCCCATGCATCACAGACCAACTTCTCCTGCCAATTCTTTCCTACTACTTCACAGTTGTTGTTCCTGAGTTGAGTCTAAATTAAATCTCTGCATACAAATCTCTGGGTCAGTGTCTGTTTCCATATATCTTAAATATGTAATTTCCCAACCATACGCACAATATTGGTTATGTAGTGCTTAACTGGGGTAGTAAAAGTATGAGACTATTACCAGAACGTCTAGCTATGTGTTCTAGTTCCACTACTTAATAGCTCTATGACTTTGGGCAATTTAATTTCTCTGATCCTCAGTTTCCTCATCTTTACATGGGGGGCAATTCCTTATGAAACAAGGGTTACTATGAGGACCCAAGCAGGGATATATCAACATATGCATATGCACATACACACACACTCAAAATATAATATTCTTATTACTATTTACATGAACTGGCAATTTCAAAAACTAAGCCTAATTTATTTTTACACTTTATTTCACCAAAACATTCCATTAGTCAGTATTAAGACTATACCAAAAAAATTCATTAATTGTTTACTATATGCTTGACTCTGTGCTACGTACCACACATACAAAGATGAGAGCTTTCTTGACGCCAAGGGATTCCAGTCTAGTGTAGAGAGGCATTTAATATAAACAGAAGTGAGTTCAAGTATTATATATGCCAAAATGGCAATAGTGTACCCATAAACAATGGGAGGGGTGCTTATTTTTCCAAGCTATCAGAAAAGGCTTCATAAGGGCGGTGAACTTTGAGGGGAGAATATTTTAGGCAAGGTATTTTAATCTCAGTGAAGTTTTTTTGAGCATTGAAGGATATTTTAATCACTTCTAAATAATAATAATTTGAGTGTAACCTATAACAACTATTTTGTGTATACCTATTATACAGAGATTTTTCACAGAAAATTTTACAATTGACAATTAAGTTTACTTACTGTTATCTTACGAGGACAGTCATTAGAACAAAGACCACTGAGAACTGTGGAAAAATAAGAAAAGGCGATTATTACTGTTACAACCTAAGCTTATATTTAAAGTGAACTCTAATTCCCCCCTCCCCCATAATCTATTAATGTGCTCTACTAAGTCATAATCACAGGCAAAAACCAATTCAAGTCCTTTAGATCTGGGCAAATCAAGTTTCTGTTGTTCACTTTACAATGATATTGTAAAAGCCTTTATTAAACAGTTAAGCTGCTCCTGTTTTGTGAAATATATAGGTGAGATAATTAATTATAGTTATATCATGCCATACCTACTCTTGGTTGTATTTTCCAAGTGGTTAGCTAAATTCTAAGGATGACTTAGATTCTGACAGAGAAGTGCCAAATGCAAACCAATTAAAATGTGTACTGAGAAAAACACATTTAGCATTTTATATCTCAAATTAGACTTTTCCCACTTATCTAGTTAAAGTTTCTGGGTCAAAGATTTTGGGTACCCTTGCTAATTAACTTTATGGAGAACACAACTATGAAAGAATTGATGGGTTTATGACAAATACACAAAAGTAATTTAGTGACATGTTTATTCTATAATCACCAAAGGGGGAAAAAAAAAGGAAAAGGTTAGAATGTCTGAATATTATTTGTATAGGTAACATGAGTTTTGAAACACAGTTTTTTTACCATCCCTTCATGTGACGTGCTACCTTTGAAGGAAGCTGACATTATATACTATTAAGTATTCTATATGTTATACATTAAAGAGATGACTGACATTTGTGCTCAGTAAGCATGAATTATCTCAATAATAATTATAAATATTTGTTAACTCAAACATATCCATAGGAAAAAGGCATCTTACATTAATTTATATTCTATGAATGTGAAATGACAATCATAACAGAAATACTTAGGCTGGGCATATAAAGCATAGACAAAGTTTATAAAGTATATATAAAGTATATACAAAGACACAAAAAATGAGCATGACATACTTCATCACAAAGGAAGATACCTGTTCATTTGCTATAGTACATTTACATGAACTACAATCTGAGGAAACATTGAAATAAATGTTTTACATTTGCAGAACAGTTTTCAGTGTTTAAGTTTCTTATCCCAGAACACTACCTGGTTCTCACCCTTTTATTCTCCCAACTTTCTATGACCTAATTTCTCCTCTTCCTTTGTTTCTCTTCCCTAAACTCCAGGTAGATATTGGTACTTTTTTTTTCTTGTCACAAAATGATTTTCATAAACTTCATTTAAATCAGTATCTTTTTTTAAAAGAAGATTTTATTTATTTATTTGACAAGAGAGATCACAAGTAGGCAGAGAGGCAGGCAGAGAGAGAGGGGAAAGCAGGCTCTCTGCTGAGCAAAGAGCCTCATGTGGGGCTCTATCCTGGGACCCTGAGATCATGACCTGAGCCAAAGGCAGAGGCTTTAACCCACTGAGCCACCCAGCTACCCCTAAACCAGTATCTTGATGAACAGTAATTACTTTCTCACAAGTCTGTCTTTGTACTAGTATGTAAGCTCTGCATCATTTTATCCTTATTTTCTCAGGGCCTAACCCAATGTATTTGCTCAATAAGTACTTATTGAAGGAGGAAAAAGATGGATTATTCAATAAATGGTACTGGATAATTGGGAATTATCCAGTATATATTCCTGGAGGAAAATAAAGTTAGACTTCAACTCAACAGAAATATTACATTTGGCAAGGACACAAATAATATAAAGAACTCAACAGAAAGATTACCTAATTAAAAAATGGGCAAAGGATCTGAATAGGCATTTCTCCAAAGAAGATATAGAGATATACAAAGTCATGAAAAGATGTTCAGCATCATTAACAATCAGAGAAATGCAAACGAAAACCACAGTGCAATGCACATTTGGAATATCCAAGATGGGGAAGTAAACTGAATAAATGTCTGAAGGATGAGTAGAAATACATAAAATGTGAATATATATATATAAACATTATTTGGCTTTAAAAAGAAATCCTGTCACATGTTACAACATGGATGAAACTTGAGGACATTATGCTAAGTGAAACAAGCCAGTCACAAAAAGACAAATACTGTGTGATTCCATTTATATAAGGTAACTAAAGTCACATTCATAGAAACAAAAAGTAGCATAGTGGTTCCCACAGGTTAAGGGTGAGGAAAAGAGGGACGGTTGTTAAATGCGTATACGGTTTCAGATTTTCAAGATGAAAAAGTTCTGGAGATCTGTTTCACAACAATGTGAATATACTTAACATTACTGACTGCACATTTAAAAATGATTAAGATGGTAAGTTTTATGTTATGTGTTTTTTTTTAAACCACAATAAAAAAATGGTTAAGTTGGTAAAAAAAAAAAAACAAACCCAAATGAAGTAAACTCCCAAGATACCATTTCACACCTATTAGGATGGGTATAATAAAAGTCAGATAATAATCAATGTTGGTGAGGAGGTAGAGAAATGGGATCCCTCACACAATTCTGGTGGGGATGTAAAATGGTCCAGCTGCTTTGGAAAACAATCTGGCAATTCCTTAAAGGATAAACTCATTTAACCCAGCAATTCCATTCCTAGATATATCTCAAAGAGATATTAAAATAGAAAAATTAAAATATATGTCCACATGAAAGCTTGTACATTAATGTTCACAACAGTATTATTTGTAATAGCCAAAATTCATCAACTGATAAATGGATAAAAAGGATGTGGTATATTCATATAATGGAATATTATTTGATAATTAAAAGGAATAAAGTATTGATAATGTTACATGGATGATCTTGAAAACATTATGGTATGTGAAAGAAGTCAGTCACAAAAGACCATACTTTATAGGATTCCATTTTTATGAAATGTCTGAGATAGGCAAATCTATGGACAAAGAGAATAGTGGGCCTAGGGCTGCGGTGGGTTGGAGCAGCAATAGGGGATTGAAGGTGATTACTAAAGGGCATGGGGTTTCTTCTGTGGTAATAAGCATTTCTAAAATGGATCGTGGTGTTGGTTGCAAAATTCTGTGAACACACTCAAAGCCACTGAAGTGGGTGAATAGTATGGTATGTGAATTACACCTCAAAGCTGTTACACTACAAAAAAGACATAAACATTTAAAAACTAATGACAGGGGTGTAAACTTCCTTTTAAACATACATTACAAAACCATACTATTCCTCACATACAAGGAGCTTCTAGGTATGCATTCAAAGATGATAATCCAGTAGAAAATGAAGGATATCAAGAAGCAATATCCCAGAAAAGAAAATGCAAATAATCAAAACCATAAACAAAAACACTCAACCTCACCCGTCAGGGAAAAAAAATCAATTTTATACCTATCAGGCAAGAAATAAAAGGCCAAGAAAAATGTCTGTAGGAAAAAAAAACAATAAAACCAAAGATAAATGACAAACTGGGAAGAATATTTGCAACACATGTAACAAAAGATTAACTTCCTTAATATATATTACAGTACATTTATAAATAAGACAGTGAAAAATGATAAGGACTGTTTGTAGAAATAAAAATATAAATGACTCTCAGACATATGAAAAGATGCTGAACTTTACGCGGTATAAGAAAAATGCAAAATAAGAGACAATACCTTTCACTTACGTGATTGGCAAAAATCAAAAAGTTTAACAACCCATTGGTTGGTGAAGGTGTTAGGAAATATACATTTTTATATACTATAGATGAAAGTATAAATTGATACAATTTCTATGACATCTGTTAAAATAAAAAAAATACTATAAAGTTTAAAACAAGGCAGAATTAATCTGTGGTGTTGGAAATGAAAACTGGTTATTTTTGGGTGAAGTGGGTTAGTAACTAACAGGGGAGCATGAGGAAGCTTCTGGTTGTTGGTTATATGTGTTTCTTGATCTGGCAATAATTACACAGGTACATTGTATTTTGTGAAATTAGGCCTGTGTACTTAGGTAGCTTTTCTATATGTATACTTCAGTAATTTTTTATTTAAAACATTCACATTATTTTTTACTAATTCTATTTTTAGAAATTTATCCACCAGGATATTCTCTGTGGCATTATTTATAATGACAATAACGAGGGATTGAAACAGCCTTGATATCTATTTAGAAGAACTCATTATGTTGTAACCATAGTTAAAATAACAAGGCAGCTCTAGATTATATTGCTGTGGTATACTCTCCAAGATATGTTGTTAAGTGAAGAAAGCAGAGCCTAGAACAACCATTTATGTAAAATAAAAGTATATACACATATATGTTTGTACATACATAAAGTATCTTGGAGAGACACAAAGAAGTTGTCTTGGGAAAAGGAATTAGACCAAGGAGATGGGGAAAGAGAGACTGACTTTTTACCACTTACTCTTGTATTTTTTTCATCATTTGCATGTATTACTTAAAAACCAAATTTATTAATGAAATAAAAATTTAGAGCTCTCAGATTAATAGGTACTAAACTGGACAGTGTCATATGCTGGCGGGAATGTAAATACCTATAGCTTTGGGAGTGGTAATTTGGTAATTTGATATTATTTATTAATATTAAAAACCCAGCCCCTCAACTCACTTAATTTCATGTCCATGAAATATTGGAAACCAGCTATGTATCTACATATCTTCTAGAGAAAATACTAGATAAACTGTGGAACATGTACAGTATTATGGAATGACATGGAGCTATTGAAAGAATGAAGGAGGACATCTGGGCTCTTTCTATATTCTGACTATTGTGGACATTGCTGTTATGAAGATCAGTGTACACGTGCTCCTTCAAATCACTATGTCTGTATCCCTTGGATAATAAAAAAATGAGATCTTGCCATTTGCAATGACATGGGTGGAACTAGAGGTTATTATGCTATGGGAAATAATTTAGTCAGAGAAAGACAAATACCATATGATTTCACTCATATGTGGATTTTAAGAAACAAAACATGAACATAGGGGAAGGGAAGGAAAAATTAAAAAAGACAAAATCAGAGAGAGAGACAAGCAGAAACTTAACTCTAGGAAACAAACTGCTGGAG